AAAATGAATAATATCTATACACAATACACATAGTATATTTTGTAGTTTCAAATTTATAATTTTAGGTAGGTACCTACCAAACACTGAATGGTCTTTTTCAGCTTTAAAAGTAGTAAAATCATATTTACATTCAATATAAAAGAGGAAAGACTAAATGTATTGAAAATGACATAAAAAAATGAAATTAAAAAAAATATTTTGAATGATTTCTGATTAATTTGTATACCCATAATATTATTATTWTTTTTTTTTTTAAGAGAGTAGGGGGGCAAAAATATGTTGCCCCGTGGCAAAAATTTTCCAAATGCACCCCTGTTTATAGTAATAAAAATAAATAGAGTACAAAATACAAAAACTCATCCTAATCAATGCCCCGTCTCAAAATGTGTACGTCTCGATCCAGAGGTTAAAGTGGGAAAAAATTCCAGAGGGGACTAATGTTTCCAAAAAGTTTTAAGCGTTCCATATATAGTTTTATGTATAATGTCTAATGTATAAAATCCTAATTTGTTAAAGGGGACGCTTTTTAACCGCCGTCAGAGGTAAGGGGACTGAGTCCTCCTGCGTCCCCCCCACTTTAACCCCTGTCTTGATCACGATAGGCGTGGGGAATCTAAAATGTTTACATGACTATGAGCACGACTGACTGTAATGTTCTATGCTTATAAAACAACCATAGATAATATATACATTATCTATGGAGACAACCTCTATTATCTATAAACCTTGAATATGAGTAATCTTTTATCTATGTGTATTTGTGATTATAAAGTGATAATCACGGTCTAAGAGTTTGAGTGATTTGTTATTGTGTTACAAAATTATTAATTAATGTTGAATTAAATTCCAATTCTACAATGGATCTTTTAAAAGCTGAAATAGAAAAGAAGAGAAAACAATTAGAAAATGCTAATTTACTTGTAAGTAATACTACTTACCTCTTGTWCTTATTTACATAGATTTTGAACAAACATTTTGCAATTCATTGATATTTATAATTATATTTTATAGAATCCGAATAGAAAATTCTTTAAAAGATCTGATTTATTAAACAAAGAACGAGAAGAATACCTGAAAAAAAGTACTATAAAAATTGAAGGTCTTGAAAATCCAGTCGAAAAACAATCGTCAGGTTAGTATTAAATTTTTTATTTACGTAAATGTGAATAATGTAGCTGTAGACCTACAGTCTGAAAATTTTACATTGCCTATTTGRCAACAGTGGCAAGAAAATGATTATTAAGATAAGGTAGACAATTTAATATGTCTAGTTAAATATGCTCACTTGTCACCCACTATTTAAACAATAAAATTAAAATTAATATTTTAGATTCTGAACGAAGTGAGGAATGCATTGATTTTACAATGATGTATGTTTTTATTTTTTGCTTAAATGTGTGTTTGGAGTAGAAAAAATACTTAGGCTTTTGTCTTCAGCCCCTCGTTGAAAAAAAAATTTATCTGGTTGGTACTTTGGGGGATCAAAAGTAAACAATTTTCAGTAGTTTTCAAAAGCGTCTAGAAAACCCAARCTATTTATTGAAACTTGAATTTTTGATTTTTCTGACGCTTATAAAAAAAATTTGGCTAACCAAAAAATCTTTAAAATTTAATACAAGTTTTATTATAAGTTGTACTTATYGTAGTAAAAGAAAATCATAAATCGTTGGTTACAATTTTTGTTTATAAGCATTTAAAGTTCAAATGTTTACAAAATATGTAAAAATTGCAAAAATTTGAATGGAACTATTAATTTTAAAATTTATAAAATTG